AGCTCCTGCCTCCAGGTTCCTGCCCTGAGTTCCTACCTTGGGCTCCCTGATGAACTGCGACCTGGGAGATGTAAGCTGAATAAACCCTTTCCTCCCCAAGTTGGTAGTGGTCAGAGTGTTTTGTCACAGCAACGAAGAAACAAACTAAGATACTGTAGATGTGGGGTTTTGGGGGGGGTTGTGTGTTTATGTGTACATGTGTATATGCAAGTATACATACATGTGTATGCATGTTCATGTGGAGGCCAGTGGTAAACATCAGGTGCCTCCTTAAATCACTCTCCACCTTGTATTTTGAGATGGGGTCTCTCACTGAACTGACTTGGCAAAGCTGGCTGGCTGCAGAGCTCCAGGTAGTCACCTGTCTCACTACCTCAGTGCTGGGATTATAGATCTGAAGCACGGTACCTGGCTTATTTTATATACATAATATATATACATATATATTTGTGTTTATGATGTAGTGTGTGTGTGTGTGTGTGTGTTGTGTATACTATGGCGCATATGTAGAGGTCAGAGGACAACTTTCAGGAGTCGGTTCTCACCTCAGGCTGTGTCTCTCTTGTTTCTACTGCTGAGTACTCCAGGAGAGCTGGCTGTTATGGTGTGAATGTGAAATGCCACCCTGCACAGGCTCATGTGTTTGAACACTTCTCCTGTGGTGCTGTTGGGGAAAGCTACGGAACCTTTATGAGGTGGAGCTTGGCTGGAGGAAATCTGCCACTGGGAGAATACTCTGAGGTTTACAGCCTGGCTCTCTGTGCTCCAGATGGAGGTGTGACGGGACGGCTGGCCTCACACTGCCAGCCTTTGCTGCTGTGATGGACTGCATCCCCTGACACTGTGAGCAAAACCAGTCCTTCCTCCCTTGAGCTGCTTTTCTCAGGGGATTTCAGCACAGCAACAGAAAAGCAGCTAAGGCCCTGGGCCCACCAGCTTCTTGGCAAGTCTCCTGTCTGTGCTCCTTTCACTGCTGGGGTCACAGGTGCCACCTACTGCATCCAGCTTTTTGTGGGTTCTAGGGATCAAACTCAAGTCATCAGGCTTGCACAGCAAGTCCTTACCACGGAGCCATCTCACCTGCCCTGTGCTGGGCTTTTTGGGGGGTTCTGGGGATCTGAACTCAGTCCTTGTGCTTGCCACTAACTGAGCCACTCCCCTAGCCCCTGGGTAGTCATTATATGAAGACTGTGACAACCAGATGTGATACAGCCATGGCCAGACACAGTAGCATAACAACAAGGACCCGACAAACAACAATGACAAAAACCCAGCTGGGGTGGATGGCGCAGTCCTGTCAGAGTGCTTGCGCACAGTGGCTCACACAGCAGGGTGCTTGCTGCACAGTGGCTCACCTTTATCCCAGCACCAGTGAGGCTGAGGCAGGAGGAGCACAGGTTCTTGTTCAGCCCAAACTACATGACAAATTGCTGTCTCAAAAAAAGAGACAAAACAATAAAACAAACACAAAAACAAAAGAAAAAGAAGGATGAAAGACAGAAAAAGAAAGAAAGGGAGAAAGGAAGTTGGAAACTATGGAGAACACGCACATTCCGAGTAAGAATCTAGATTTCTAAGTCTATATTTCTATATTAGAAGTATATGAAGCTGTAGTACAAATCCTACTACATGATAATATGCAAATCAACAAACATGTAAAACATAAAATGCATGCCTAGATTGTTTCTTCCAAGTATATGGAACAGTTTAAAGAAATATACTGCGTTAAACTGCCCTTACGCATCTGTGTGCATTTGCATATTCTGGAGTTATTTACCCTGAAGGGGCTGGAAGCTTCTGCCTTTCCTCAGGAACCTCCCCTCCCCTTCTGGTTCCTTCACTTTGGAGTGTGGGACGGAGGAGCGCCAGCCAAGGAGAGGCAGCCTTGGTTCCTTGACGTTCTACTTCGACAGCAGGGCCGGGAGGACATCTGTTTTGCAGTCTAGGGGCAGGGCCAATGAGCTGAGCATTTCTCTGGTCCAAGATAGGGTCTAACTGTAGGCAGGTGGAGGGCCATGCATCCCACCCTGTGCTTTCCTGGGGACAGACATGCCAGCCCATTGCAGGGTGCTTGCTGCACAGTGGCTCACACAGCAGGGTGTTTGCTGTACAGTGGCTCACCTTCGGCCACTTGGACATAAGGGACCAGGCCCAGGACTCCCTGCCTTGCCAAGGAGCTTCACAGTCACCTAGGTAGACAAGTGCTCTTGTGACCCTTGAATTGATGTGACCGGGGCTGACTGTAAATAAACTCCCAACGTGCTAGACTGGAGAAGTTTATTTGAAGACAAGGGGCATCAGAGCTGCTTTTGAAATGTGAAGTTGTGCGCTGTGAGTGGGTCACGAAGCTGGTCCGCAGACCTGTTCCCTACACAGGCCCTAAGGACAGACAGGCACCTGCTCTGCCTGACACCTGGGGTTTTGGCTTTCTTTGCCCTGCACAGGATTCCTGCTGTAAGGCCCACCTTCCTGCCTTCTCTAAAGCCCCTGGGCTACCTCATCCTGCACTGAAAGACTGCACCAGCAGCCTGACAGTCATCTATTGATCTGTAAGGCTCACAACGCTTCACTGCCCGCCTAGGACTTTAGGCCTGAGACCTTGAGCTGTTCTACAAATTCGCTGAGCTTTGCAGTGGTTAGTGTATAGATCAGGATTTGTTTATACTGCACTGAGGGAGCTTGCATATGTGTGTGCGTGCGTGTGTGTGTGTGTGTGTGTGTGTGTGTGTGTGATGCAGATCAAGTAAGTGCCATCTGCTAGTCAACAGACTCCGCAACTCCCTGCATACAGCTAAGAGGGCAGTGAAAGTGCAGTCCATCTGCCAAACACAAAGGATCTTTATAAAGAGCCTGAACAACTGACATTGGATTTTTGAGTCTAGATAGTAAATTGCAGTGGTAGAAATTGAACTTAGAATGTTTTATACTCTTTTAAGTGATGTTGAATGCCAGCATAGTATGACAGAAGAGAAAAAAAAAATAAGAGAAAGGAACTTTAAAAGCAGTAACAAACAATTTTTGAGAGTTTTCTGGTCAGTGGGATGGGTTTTCAAACCTCAGACGGGCACACTCCACCAAGCAGCTGACATGTGGTCATAACTAGCTGGCTGCACTTTCATCGAGATGGAATCTTCCGTAGAAATGCGCACAGAGTACCTAGATCATTGGCGTTTCAGAGTCACATCCCTAGGGCTGCTCTTTAACCTAATGGAGTGCTCAGCTCCCTGCTGGGAAAACCTTCCCCTTTGCAAAAATCAGAGCGACTCCTCTACATTTTCAGTGCTTCAATGACTGTCCCCCAAAGACAAACCGCTCAGAGGATCAATTAATTGTAGGTGTTGTGACAACTCAAAACAGTAAGGAGTTACATGAGCCATCACAGGTCGGAATGCGCTGTGTTGGCTTGGCTTCAGTCTAACATTAAAATAAAACCGAATTCCCTATGTGCACATGAGGCTTATAGGTTGATTTATGGCCACAATGGCCAGACAGGCTGGAGTTTAAACTCTATAGACTACAGAAAGCACACATGTGCACATGTGTGTGCATCATCTGGAGCTGCCTGCTTCAGCATCTCCTCCCAAACTCTATGGAACACACACATGTGCATCCTCTGGAGCCATCTGCATCAGCATCTTCACACCCAGCAGCACAGCTCAGTTTCCCTTGGGCATTTTAAACCCAGAACCTCACATGATGGAGACTTGTGGTCATGCTGCCCCTCCCAGCAATGCCCAGAGTCTCCAGGGCAGTCTGCTCCATACAGTCTGCTCCAATTTGGAGCGAATTGCTTTCATGGTCTCTCACCCTTCAGTCAGGTGCAGGAGGATAAATGAGCCCTCAGGTGGCCCCCAGGCTCTAAATTCCCAACCTCAGCAGCTAAGCAGTTATCCCCTCTGCTATGGACGAGTTCATGCTGTTAGTGAGACTGTATATATACGTGTACATGTACTGTACACGTTCCCCTCTCCTAGGCAGCACAGTTAACATGCAGCAGTGGCAACCCCCAACTTCAAAGACAATACCTAGTCATTGCTTGCTGCTGACTGGTGTTTTGGTTCTCCCTGGGGAGACTGGGACCCAGAGGTAAGTGGGAGCATCTGCATTGTGACTGTGGGTCGGTCCCCTGAGCGCAGGCCGCCACTGCACTGTTCTTCATGTCACGCTGCTTGAAGCAGGAGCTGACCCAGGTCCAAGGATGTTACCCTGCAAGCCTCACAGCCCTGTTGTCCTGGCCTTCACACAGGGCGTGCTCATCTTCTAGCCCTGGCAGGGTGTGGATACAGGCATTTCTCCAGCAGCCTGAACCCAGGGGGTCCTGGGCGGAATCTCTATTCCAGTTCCAGTTCCAGTTGGCAATCTATTTGTTTGATGATTAGCTGTCTACATACAACATTTCAGAATCAAAAGCTACAAGACCAGTGAACCCCTACATCTATCAGCAACCCCACAAACACTAGCTGGCTGAACTTGATCCCCAGGGGGCTTGGGCTCTTCACATCACCACACCATCACTGCAGTGGCCAACACTATCCTACCCACAGTGGGCTGGGTTTGCAGGCACAGGCCTTGTGAGAGCAATTAAGGTTCAACAAGGTGAGGGAGGGGCTCTAACCCTAGAGGACTGGTGTCCTCACAGTAAAAGGAAGGGACACCAGTATTTGCAGCTCTTCCCATACATAGAAGAAAAGCCATGCAAGGAACACAGTGAAGGGCCATCTGGAAGCCAGGTCTCCAGGAACAGACCTGAAGTGACTTGACCTCGAACCCAATCTCCAGAATGGTGAGACAGTAAATGTCTCTTGTTATGCCGTCCTCCCAGTGCTGTTCTGTTACGGGAGCCTAAGATAATTACAGTACACAGAAAAAGTAAGCTGGAATGCCAACGTTCAGAGAGCTGACCAGTTTTGAGGGAACTTCACAGACCCCATGAGATGTCAGACACACCATAAAGCTGAGTTTCTGTGCCATCTTCCTGCGTGGGGATCTGTCAGCACTTCATCTTGTAAACAGGCCCCTAGCTTTCACTGGAATGATACACATGGTTCATAAGTCCAAGGACAGCCACCTTCTCCCACAAATAAGAGAACTGAATCACTTGTTTCCTTTCTGGCCCTTGTTTGAATGTCCTGGAGAGGACTGTCACTGCCTGTCATCTCATAACAAGGTGGGAGTCCAAAGAACTGTGAAGGACATCATGTGAAGGACGTCATGTGAAGGACACTGTCATGTGAAGGACATCGTCATGTAAAGGACATCATCATGTGAAGGGTGTCATGTGAAGGACACCATGTGAAGGACGCCATGTGAAGGACATTGTCATGTAAAGGACATCATCACGTGAAGGGCGTCATGTGAAGGACACCATGTGAAGGATGTCTTCATGTGAAGGACGCCATGTGAAGGACGTCATCATGTGAAGGATGTCATGTGAAGATGCCATGTGAAGGACGCCACGTGAAGGATGTTGTCATGTGAAGGATGTCATGTGAAGGACGCCACGTGAAGGATGTTGTCATGTGAAGGATGTCATGTGAAGGACGCCATGTGAAGGATGTTGTCATGTGAAGGATGTCATGTGAAGGACGCCACGTGAAGGATGTTGTCATGTAAAGGATGTCATGTGAAGGACGCCACGTGAAGGATGTTGTCATGTGAAGGATGTCATGTGAAGGACGCCATGTGAAGGATGTTGTCATGTGAAGGATGTCATGTGAAGATGCCATGTGAAGGATGTCTTCATGTGAAGGACATCGTGAAGATGCCATGTGAAGGATGTCATCATGTGAAGGATGTCATGTGAAGATGCCATGTGAAGGACGCCATGTGAAGGCCTGCAGGACTGGTTCTGCCCATGAAGCCTTACTGCTAAGTGAGAACTCGGGAAGACCAAATGGGACAGGAGGTGATTTCCTACAGAAGCCTCCTTCACTTGGGCTCTCTGGCCCCTCCCAATCTATCCTCAGGGGTCACATGAGATCAGCCCAGTTGGGGAGAACTGGCACACACCTGTGGGTGTCCTTGCTGTGAACTCGGGGTCAAAGTGGAAGGTGTCCTCAGGCCTGCCCACTGCTGGCTTGAAGGGTGGCTTGATTTCCTTCCGGTACAGCTTCTGCAAGGAGAATGGGGTGTTGAGAACAGTCTAGTGAGAACAGGGGGAACGGAGGCCTGAGGCAGAGGGAAGGTGTCCTCACACTTCCCACAGGTGTGCGTGTACGCACATGCAGATCGTCAATTTATCCCACTGTGTTACATAGAAGACAGAACATGTAATACAGCAACTATACATTGCATATGAGATACAACGGGCATAGTTTGAGGCATAAAGGTTTGGGATCTGCTACATGTCCATTTTAAGGCAACCATTTTCCATTTTATTTTTGACCATAGGGTTCCCAACTCCAAGTCAAACCCTATAGGTTGGCCACATGTGCTGTCCCCTCCCTGCCCTAGTGATGATGGGCTGTGGGCTTGAGGCCCACATTCAGCTCTGTGGAGGTACTGTGCAAACACCCACCGATGTGCCAAGAGCACCGAACTCACACAGCTCTTCCGTCACCCTGACAGAGTCAGTCCTGTCTCTTTATCAGGGAGACTCGATTTACACAGAATTCCATTACAAACTAAACAACAAACACAATATGGCTGCCGCTCAATTGTGAGAAGAGGCAGCTTTGACTGGGCAAGTTGGAGCCCACAGGGACCGTTTCACTTTCTCCCTCAGCCCATAGGGACCTGGTGTTGGGAAGGCTGAGGTCTCACCTATGCCTGCCTAGCTTCATAGAGGTTGAGAAAATCATCCCTGCTTGGGCCTCCTCCCAAGGGGAGCCCCCACCCCGACCCCACGAAGGATCGCTGGCAGTGTCTGAGAACACAGTCACCAATCACTTTGTGCACCACAGCCTCTCAAACCCCGCCCATTTCAGGACAGCCCACAACAGAAAGCACCACTCCAAGAGCCAAGATGCCCATGAGCCCTGGCTTGGCCCACTGTCCCTTCTCTCCCCTGTTCTTCCTCATTTTTGGCCCACCCGTGACACTGTGACTGCCTGGCCAGCTTTGTGAAGCAGGGTGAGTGTTGGCAGATCACACACTTTCATTGGCACCCCCTCCTCCTACAGGGAGCACTGATGTGGGCAGAGCTGGCTGTGGGTCTGTTACCTCTCCCAGGACATCTAGGACACACCAGAATTTCACAGGGAAATGGGTGCTTTGAGAATTCAGGCTGCTCAGGAAAGCACAGCTTAGCCAGGTGCAGGGTGCACGCCTTTAGTTCCAGTACTCAAGGCAGAGACAGGAGGACCTCTGTGAGACAGAGGCCAGCCTGGTCTACACAATGAGTCTCAAGCCAGGTGGGACTACAGGGAGACCCTGTCTCAAAAAAGGAAAGAAGGAAGGAAGGAAGGGAGGGAGGAAGGGAGGAGGGAGGGAAGGACAGCTTCATCACCGTCCATTCTGATTGGGGGATGCTTTTCTTCATCTTAATTCTTCTATCTGCTTTGCTCCAGAACAGCTTAGGGGGTTCAAGCAAAAGGATTCACCGGAATCAGATACATCACCGTGAGGTGCTGTGGGAGAAGCCCAGCGTGGAGGGCATTATTAGTGGTAAAGGGGGGCAGAGGACAACTGGATGCTGTGCTGTTGAGCCTCTGCTCAGGACATCCCAGGCTTTGTCCCATATTATGCTCAGTTCCCTCCTCTCCCCTCCATTCACCTCAGGGCCCAGTGCTGGAGTCACCAGTGGATCCCACCGAGTGATCAGGGATGGAGATGGTCACATATCACATTTGAACACTGGCTGTGTAAGTCACCCTGGCAGCATGCTTCTGTTACCTGATCTTCTTTTTGGAAACCTGGTCCAGCTATGAAGTTCAGGCATGACCATACACAGGAAGGTGAGAGGGGGAAGACACAGCATCTTTCCTGTGGCAGGACCTTCCATGGCACATGCTGACTATTCATGTACCCACTGGTGGCCAGCCAGCCATCTGTCTGAGGTTGCTGAAGCTTCATTGTGGTCTCAGTGGCAGCCCAGGGCCCTCTGCAGCCAGTTGCTCTGTGCCAGGGTAACCTGGATGCTCCTCCTCCTCTTCAGGGTGGCTCAGCTTCTATCTCTTGCTGTATAAACACTCTGTAAGGTGCTAATGTGCTGTTAGCACACATGCCCTTTCTTCCTCTCTGTACCCAAGCCTAGTTGGCTTTGAGGTTTTCACAAAGAATGGCTGTACCTTTGCTTTCGAGTGCAAAGTACTGTTCATGTGCTGATGTGAGGGGTGGTAGCAGCATTATGTCTAGACGCCAACCTCGACTCCCTGCTCTGAGAGTCTGGAGAAATCTATGCCCACCTGAAGATGGGGCATGAAGGAGAAGGGGGTCTCATGGTTCAACTCATCATTTGCATCATCTCATTTGCGCTGGGTGTCAAGATGACACCAGTCTGGCAGTGACATTGAGTCAGATTTCACATCGCACAAGCACCCAGAAGAGGCTGAGCAGGAACATCAGGTGGCACGTCTGCCTGAGAGACTTCGGGGAAGTGAGCAAAGGACAGCGTAGAACAAAACCGGACACTGCCAACAGAGCAGGAAACTGGCTCTAGCTTGAGGCCACAGACCCTAACATCTGCTTTATGCCCAACTTTGGCTCCGGGTGTTTCAAAATCAATCTGCTCCGATGAGCAAAGTGGGCACATGTACCGTTCCTGAACAGCAATGCAGACACACGGGCATGGAACAGCAGCAGAACAGGAGGGACGAGAGGATGGGATGGAGCCTGGCACTGTGGAGGGGCTGTGTCACTCTCTGAGGAGGAACACTGCCTACAGTTTACCCAACACAAGTAATGCTGCCAAACATCCAGACCTAACAAGTGCCAAGCCAGCGGGCACTGCAGCCAGAGTCCTTGTGGGGGCCTTGAAAGGGCAACCTCTCCTGTTGCTGAAGGGGTGGAAATCCTCCTGTGGCAGTGGAGACAGGGGCATGTGTTGGAGGCTAGGCTGAAATCCAGGCCTGTGAAACACTGGACACACCCCATCTGCAGTGAGCCTCTACCCTCCACCTGCTTCAGCTGGTTCAAGGGACAGCCAAAGGCACAAAGCAACATGACGCCCAATCACAGAGCCACCTGGGCCATTCTTCTCACCCACAACTCTGTGCCTCAGTTTCCCTTGGGAGTACTTCTCACCTCACTGAAAAACAGATGATACTGTGCTGAGTTTGAAATATAAACAGAGCAACAAGAGTCACTGATGTTAACAATGAGCAGTAGCCACGACTATGCCTGCCGAGTGGTTTGTGCTGAGGGTCCCGACTTTGGACAATGATCTAGAAGCAGGAGATCAGTAGGCATCCCCATCCTGGGAGCATCTGGTGAAATACTGTTCTCTGCCCGCCCAAGTCCTGTCTCGCCTGGGTCTGCTTGCAGAAGCTGGGCTGGGCTGGATGCCAATGTGGACTGGCTTACTGGCTTGTGTGGCCTGTGTGATTACCTTTTATGCTTATTTTGGGGTGGTGCTAATCCCATGTTCCCAGCATTGCTCAGTCATGAGGGAAAAGTAAACGCAGCTTACATTTGCCGGCTCCATCATCCCCTCCAAGAGGTTCCTGCTCTGTAATTAACTTGTAATTTTTCACTTAGCCAGGCAAGCAGTGCGGTCTTTCAGAGGGCTGGCCTCTGGGCTAATGTGCTGGGCTCTGAGGGCAGGTGGAAAGGCAGCAAACCCCCAGGGACCTGCCACCTCCACCTGCACCCACCAACATCGGGGACTTAAACTTCTGCACCATCAGAATGAAAAGCCCCCAGGGGACAGCTGGGGGATGACAGGTGTTTAAAAAAAGGAGAAAGATCTGCTGACAGTTTGGGGTTACAGAAAGCAACACAGAGACTGATGTTTTCTCAGCTGGATCCTGAGGCTGCGCCTGGATAAAGTCCCCAGGCAGGAACTGATGCCAGGGAATTCTCCTTTTTCACTCTGAGTTGCTGATATCAAGCGAGTGACTAAGTCCAACAGACTGGTGCACACACATTCACTAACTGTCTAAAGCATGCGTGTGTGTGTGTGTGTGTGTGTGTCTGTGTGTGTCTGTGTGTGTGTATGTGTAGTGAGGTTTGCAACAAAGACACAGGGCTCTACCATGGCCACAAACACAAGGGCAGCACCCAGGCCACTTGTGTGAGGAAGGACGCTGAGAAAGAGGGACAGGTCAGCTCAGTTATGCAAGGCCTCGATGCTGACTATCAAGGCCCCTGGGGCCCGAACGTGGTTCTTTTGAAGACTTTGTTCATGCCCGTTGTCTGTGGTGGGAATCTCCTTCCTCCCCACTTCCTCTCCTAGTTACTTCCCACCTGCCTCCTTCCTCCTGCTGCTGTTCTCTTTGGATTGCTTGCTCACACTGCTGCTGTCTCTGGACGACCCCTCAGTGCATCAGACATTCTAAATATAAGCCCTCCAGGATGGGGCTGCTTCCCCATCGCCATGCTGCGGACACCTCACTTCTGCTGGTCCAGACAGGTGGCACACTGCTTATGGCTAAATGAGTTGATACAAGGGCCTGTTTCTGAGCTCCGCTACCATGCAGAATTTATTCATCAGGGCACTGGATAAAACAAGGTTGCCATCCCTCCAGGCTCTTCTGGGCACCGTCTGGCAAGGACAGGGTGAGAGTAAACATACCTAGTCCCAGTGACTGATGGGCCTCTCTAAAATCCAAATGAAATAAAACCAAATGTCAAGGGAAACAAAAGAAACTTCCTAACTTTATTCTAGCTTGAATTACTTTCAAAGTAATTGTGCAGAAACACAACCTTCGCGGTGTAGGAATCCAGTGCCTGTATTTGCACTAAAAAACATTGCTTCCCAACTACAGAGAGGCCAAGGCCAGCTCCAAGTCTGGTATAGTCTGTGGAAAGTGCACATGGCTGTGGAAGGGTGGCAGCTTCTGCCCAGATCCTACAGACCCCGCCTTCTGTAGCACACGCACCCTAGCCTAGCCTTACCCCAGTTAGAATCAGCTTTGCCAACTTGACAGCCTAGCATCACCTGGGGAGAAAGTCTCAGTGAAGGGCGTCTGTAGGGGACTGTTGTAATTCATTGATGTAGGAAGACCCCGCCCACTGGCAGTAGTGCCACCTCTTAGGCAGAGGGTTCTGGACAGTGGAAAGCTCAAGCTGAGCACAGCGGGCAGTATGCCTGCCATCATTTCTCTCTGCTCTTGACTGTGGAGACGATGTAACCAATGCTCACAAACTCCTGTAAGGATGGACTGTCACCTGGAGCTGAGCCACAATAAACCTATCTCCCCTATAGCTCTTTGTCAAGGTATTTCATCACAGCGGCAGAAACAGAGCTAGAGCCCCAGGCCTCCAATTCCAGACACCTCGTCACTCACAGGCCCTTCTGGCCACTGCCTGCTTAGGGTGTCCTTTGTCCACCAAAGTCCTCCTTGGTCAGGTCCTCTGGGTAGGGTGTCACCTGGGGGACATCACCTTGTGCACAGCTAGGGACCTCCCTTTTGTTCCACACGCAGCCCCTGGGACACCCACCCCAAGTTCTCCCTACCCAGAAGCTCTCTACCACCCTCCTTGACTCAGCAATTTCCTCTGTTTGTGTGTGTGTGTGTGTGTCAGTGAAAAGGGAATGAAAGGAACTGTTCCTTCACAGGCACCACTCTGGTCCTGCCAGAGACTTTCTGGGACCTTCCCCCCCATTACTGCTCCCCACACCCCTCACCCCGCTCCCCTCACTTACTTTCCTCCTCACTCCTCGCCCACTCCCTATTCTTTCTCGCCCCTTCCCTCCTCTCTCACTCAAAGGTATTCTGAGGCCTCTCCTGCCAGGCCTGTTTGGAGGCCTGGAACATATCCCAAAGCCAGGAGTCCCAGGCAGGCGACAAAGAAACACTCCTCACAAACCAGGGGGATCGTGTGGCACACTGGAAACTGATGAGCATGGGAACAGAGGACAGAAGGGCACTCATTGCTGAGTGGTCAGCGGGCAGATTTCCTACAGTGATGGGGATGGAGACATGGGAGAGAAGACTAGAAAGAAGATATGAAGTGAGGCCTGAAGAAATGGGAAACAGGTCCAGCAAGACGGCCGTGGAGGGAGTGGGGCAGGCCAGGGTGCGGCTCTTCTACAGCCTCCCACTTTCCTCCACCCTGTCCCCAGCTTCCTCTGCAACAAAACCTTCACCTGTGACACAGCTCCACTTCCGCTGCTCACAGCCTCTTTCTCCCAGTGACATCCCGGATCCCCAGGGTAAGGCTCTGCTACATCCCAGCCCAGAAAGTTCCTGAAACACGGAACCTGACCATACATGCTTCTGTAAATAAACAGGCAAATGATACACTGGCAGTAATCACCAACATGTGTCCCCTTCCAGGAGGCAGGAGATGCTACCCATGAGGGCTGGCTTGATGCCCGGTGCTCTGTAGCACAAGGCCCACTGTCCATGACAGGTCTGTTTCTGAGCTGAGGGGCTTAAGTCAGCAGAGAGCTGAGTGGAGGCTCCAAGAGGAGGTGTGGCTCTGCCTCCCCAAGGTCCTGTCTTTTTTGCTTTTCACTGAGGACAGCCTGGTGTCTCCCCGCTCTCTGAACAGGGATTTTACCTGCTGGGAAGCACAGGTACCCTGACAGTCCACCTGCTTCCCTCTGACCTTATCTGGAAGACGGCACCTCTTCTAAACAAGCTCTGTAGTCAGAACTGCGGAGCCAGGGCTTAGACTCCTCTGACTCGCACAGTTCGTACGGGCTCAGGCCTGGAGTGGCTGGAGTGTCTGGGAGGGGTGGTTTCAGGGACACAATTATTGTGTTGTTCTCTGAAGTAAGACCGGGGTGGGGGGGTGTTGGATTCTGGGAGGTGCAAAACCCGGTAAGGTGTAAGTAAGGACAGGAGGGCAGAGTAGAAGTAACACCTGCAAAGTGCATTTCAATTTCCTTTTTCTCTCTCGTTCTCCTTTTCTTTTTCCTTTTAAAAAATATTTTATTATTTTTATTTTACATGTACGAGTGTATCGCCTGCATGTATGTGAGTGCATGTCGTGCAATGCCGCGGAGGTCAGAAGAGGGCTTTGGCTTCCTCTGGAACTGGAGTTAAGGACGGTTGGTAGCCACCATGTGTGTGCTGGGACTTGAACCCGGGTCCTCTGTAAGAGCAGTCAGGGCTCTTGACCACTGAGCCATCTCTCCAGCCCCTCTTTTTCCTTTTCCAGTGCTGGAGATGCCAGGGCCTCACAAATGCTGGCCAAGCATGCTACCACTGAGCTTTACTCAACCTGATGTTTCAGCATTGTTACAAATCTTCTGAGATTAATTTTAGTTCAGGAACAGGAAATCCCACTTGTGTACGAGGCTGTTCTGCTCAGGAAGCACTACCTGGGGGAGGGAAGCCCAGTGGGCTTTCAGATGCAAGTCAGCCCTGCAAACTGTCACTGGTGTGTCGGAGGCTGGCATCACCTTCCAAGCAGGGCTGGTGACTCAAGAGAAGCCAGTGTCAGTGTGGCTGGAGCAGGTACGAGGCAGAGGAGGCTGTGTAACCCAATGGGCAGGGCACAAAGAGGACTTGGGGCCGAGGGGTGCTGGCCATCATCTGTGCCTCTCTGGGAGCCAGTCACGCCAAGGGTCCTGAGCATGCGCACTTGTGGACAGGGAGACAGAGGACATGAGCTTGACCAAGCGGCAGCAGTTTCCACCCACCGTGTGTGTATATATAGTGGTGTCCCTCTGTGTACACAGGGCTGGGACCTTGGCATGCAACTTACATTCCAGTCTATGGTAACAAAGAATGGGTGACGCTTAATTTCCTCCACTCCATCGATGCCAGCGCCTGTCAACAAAGCAGAGATCACCTGTCAGTGTAAGTCCAAGGCCATGTGCTACCTCTGATACTTTCTAATGCAGCAGTGTGGGTGATGGGGGCACCCAGGGCAGGTCCTGACATGGTCTTCCTATGGGAAGGAGCCCTGCTCCCACCATGTCTCAGCCCAGGAACCCCCATTCAACCCCAACACTTGTGACATGGACACAGCCTGGGGCAGAAGTGGAAGGAGAAGATGGGGCAGTGAGCCAGACTTCCTGCTCCAGGTATGGGGGTGCCAGGATGCCCCAGAGGGGCACAAGGCTATCATGGCCATAGACCACACTTGTAACACCCAGAATGCAGTATCAGGCAGGCTCCTAGGAACAGAGAAAGCACAGCAGGGCAGGGGTACAATGCAGAGCATCTGGCCAGGCTGTTGTGGGTTCACCAAGGGAGAATGTGGAAAAGGAGATGGAGATAAGGACTGAGTGCTGGGACACAGAGCCCAGACTGCAGCAAAGGTTCACAGTCACCCGGAGACAGTTTATAGCTCTCAGATTTGTCTACCCATTATTTCTAACTAGCCTCTCCCCTTACTTTGCTGCTTGTATCAAAACCCCAGTCCTGCACTGCACAGGGGTGGGGGCTGGCGGGAGACAGGGACAAGGGGGCTGTGAGACCGGAACTGGTCTGAAGTGAACGGTGAGGTCCACGAGGAGCAGCGTGATTAGTCACCAGCAAACACGCTGCACTCACAGTGTTAACATAGGAGCGGAGTGCTGGGGAGGGACAAAGGGACTTCCTGTACTTTTCGTTCTATTTCTCTGTAAACTTAATGTTGCTCTAAAAATAAGGTCTATTAATTAAAAACAAAGCCCTAAGGCCCAAAATGGCAAGGCAGCCAGGAGCCCAGGTTCTCCTGTTAGGAGTCGGGGACAAAGCTGGTCTCAGTCAGCTGGGAACCACTGGGTAGAAAATCAGGAGAAAGGGAGGCAGGCCTTGAGCCTGGGCATCCTGCCAACTCAGGTCTCAGGTATGGGGGATGCATCTCTCCATCCCTCACACTGCACCCCAACCTCTTCTGGCACTAATGGCTCTTCTCCAAATCACACCTTCCTCCTGAGTCCACTCAGCCAAGACAAGCTCCTGGAGACCTAGAGAGGACTTCTGTGTAGTCGCCTGTGAGCAGAGTGCCATGAAACCAGCGGGAGGGCACCTTGAGAGGCTGTGGGGACCTCTCATACCTTGAAGTCCCACTGCTCTGCCTGTGAGGTTGGGACTGACCCCTCCTCACAGGCAGCTGGTGTCACTGGGGTACACACCTGTACCCCATGGCTCATGCCCTGACCTTCTGATGCTCTGCTCCCTGTTCATAGCGACGTGGTCAGAGCATCAGGAACGGACTCTGTGGACACCCAGGACCACCTCCCCTCTCTCCCAGGCAGCTTGTAAAGACCCGACTGGACCCATCATAGGAGGTGCCATCCCAATACCACACTCTGTTGTTTGGTATCTGTCATTGTTTGGCAGGAAAACACACAAGCAAGGAAACCAGGAGAAGGGGCAGGGCTCAGGTGTTCCACTATCCACGAGGACCTGCTGGCATGTCAGCTCCTCCTTTCTGACACATACAACATAACACACGTGCTTCCTGTGTGTTGCCTACACAATGGCCTCTTACAGATGAGGAACTCAGGCCGGAGTAGACTTGCTCAGCCCATACCAGCTGAGTTGTTAAGGCAAATCTGCCAAACTTGGCTGCAGTACCACCTTCTGGGAATCCACCCTGACCCCCACGTCTGATTTAGCTCTTTCCTCTCAGAGTCTCTTTTGGCTCTACATGTCCATCTCCCTTGCTATGCCCTAAACTGCAGGCCCAGATGCCTGATCACAGACCTAAGTTCTCAGAACTTAGCATTCCTTGATAGGTGCTCTGATGCTGCTGAAGCAACTTCTAGAACCCATGATCTGTTTTCCAAGGCTGTGCCCTATGGATCACCATCTCTGCACTCCTTTGATGATGCCTAGAACTCCAGAGTGAAGAGTTGTTTGTTCCCGGTGACAGAATAGGAAGCAAGTGCCTCAGATTCACACCTCTTCTAGGTCCCCATGAGTGGTGCCTACCTGCAGGAGCCTGCTTCCCAGGCCCCCGGCACAAGCACTTGCCCAGTGAGATGTGCCGTGTTTGAAGAACTTCTGCATACATGTCACTTGCAGAACAGAGTGACAAGGGAGATGCAGTGGAGCCGCGGCTGAGAAGCTGGTTCTGAATCCTCTGCCACTCTTGCCTGCCTTTATTTTCTTCCGTTGCAATTAGAATCTGACACTTTGATTATTGCTCAGAAACTCTAAGTGTCCCCAAGGAGAAGACATGAAAGTGGGAGACTTCTGCACCCAGGTCTTCAGTCTTTAGAGCCTGTGCCAACCTTTAGAGAACAAACGTGGCTATTATCTGGATGTGAGTCTTAGCCTCTCCTGAAATGTCTTAAAATAGGTTATGTAGGAGCTGGCTCTGCTTTATTCTAGACTGTGCACATTTGACAGACAGCAGGAGCAGAGTTCCGGGCAGGGAGGACGGGAATGTGTTTGTGCTGATGTTGGAGCCAGAGTTGCTGCATTACAGGATCTTGACCAAACACTCTGCAAATCTCCTCTGTTCCAGGAGGACGCCTGCGGCTCATCACCTGTCACAAGACCCTGGAGTCAGACAGGCATTCAGAATGGAGGAGCACAGGAGTGAGAGCTTCTTCTGTCTGGTACACTTCTGCTTAAGGCTGCCATTCTGTAGCAAATCCTCCACCAGACAGGGTTCAGGCACAGTCTTTGTTGGTCACACTGAGTTACACGTATTTTGACCACTGTGGGCTGTTTCCATATGAAGACACCTTGGAGGATGTTTCTCCAGACCCAGTCTCTGTGGACCCACTACTTGATTTCTCCACTTGGTCTTACAGGAGATAAGGGGTGAAGACTCCACACTGTCCTGGAAAGGGATTCTTTATGACTCCTTTTAGCCAGGTCTTCTTCACAGTTAAACACTGTCCTCTAATAGAACCATTGTGGGCTTCTAGATCTCATTAAACTATTCTTAAGAACTAGTATCTACTGAAAAGATTTTCA